GACAAAATTAATACACACATCACCTTAAAATTTCTGTAGTCATAGTTTAGTCAACTAGTTTAAGGAACAAAATATCTAGTCAATGTTTATCTAAGAATATTTGGTTTTTTACCCAAGCCTTATCTACATAGCACATGATAATTAAAAGTACCAGACTGGTGGAACTAACCTTATTGGATGTTTAACAACCATACTTTAAGGCCTATACTAATGTGGTCAGAGGGACTTAAAGGACAGTTTTTTGCCTCTTGCCCTTCAAGGTTGACCAAGTTCAGGGGACTATGGAACATCTCTCAAAATGTCCTGTAACTGTGGTGAATCACCTGTCCTCTTGTTCAGGGAGGCCATGGAGACCCCACAAGATGGACTTGAACCAGTGTCCAGTCTACAAAGAGGAGGGTCAACTTAGAGGACACATCTCATTCATGCTTCCAAGAGAAGCCAGACATGGTCAAACAAGACCTCTGACTTATCTTCACATAGATGGAACTGGTAAAAGAAAGAAGCCAGCCACTTCTCCCAAGCCCATGTGACCCCTGAGGAACAGATCCTCAAATGACCTTAAGTATAAAAATAAATTGATTTATTTGGGGCAACTGTATTATCTTAAACACCCAAAAGGAAAGTATAACCAAAGAGTAAAGTCATCAGTATACTTCTTTAAGAGTTCAAGGGATTACACTTCTCAGACATTAGGCTTAAGTCTATATAAAAAGTTATTTAGACAATTATTACTCATTGATGATTTTGTTCCTAACCAGAAAGTGCTGCTCAGATGTTAAGACCTCAAATCTTGTCTCCAGTACTGTGGTGCCCACCTGTAGATACTGTAGTGCTCACCTGTAGCTAAGGGAGACAACCAGCTATTGTTCTAAAATGATGGATAAATTTGTTCTCTCTCCCTATTTAGAAGCCTTTGAGAGGGAACTGACACTGATCCTAACCACTCCAACAGCTATCAAAATACCCTGAAAGCAAATCCTGAATTCATACTGTCGAGTCCAGCCTTGGAAGACAAAAGAAAAATGAGGAGGAACCCAATAGAGGGATGCTTTTCGAAGCCCTTGTCAGGAAATTCCAGTGGACTCTCATATGAACCTTTGAAAATTGCCCTGTTCTGACTTTTTTCTAGTTCCCCGTCTAGAACTTTTAATGCGAATTACCCTTGCCTTTACTTCTCCTTCACATCTCCTATTCACGATTCAAGGACTTTCTTTTCCCCTTAGAGATAAGAGTTATGCAATTTGGGAGTCTTTTAGATAGACCCACTGAAGGGGTACTCCAATTGCCTCATCCTGTGTCCCTGTTTAGCATGGAAGAAGCTGGAAGCAGTCTGCGTCCCTAGCCCTTCAGAGGATGGCGTGATAAGAATAGAAGGTAAGAATTGGCTAGGCAGTTAAGGTAAAAAGACCCCAAAGAAAAGTAGCCAGTTTCCTGGCTAAAAGTCAAAATGTCCTTGGGACTGTTAACAACATGCTCTGTTCCATAGGCCAAAAATGTCAAAAGGATTTGGGAGTTTGTATCTAATCCTTAAAAGATTTTTAGGGTTACCACTTCAGAGGGGCGAATGTTAAGAGTACCCAAAAGCCCCATAAAAATAAATGAAAGAAGAAAAAAAAAGAAAAAGAAAAAAGTGATGGGGAGATATGGGAAGTGTTGGAAGGGAGGGAGTGGGCATGGATTTTATCAAAACACCTTATATGCATATATGAAATGCTCAATAAAGTTTTTGTAAAAGTTAAAAAAAAAAATAGCCCAAAGTAGAAACAAGCCAAATGCCCATCAACAGATGGATAAACAAAATGTATCCATAAAACTGATTTTCCAGCTTTATAAGGGATTAAAATACTGGTGTGTGGTATACTATGGCTGAGACTTGAAAACATTATGCTAAGAAGCCAGACACTAAAGGCCAGCCTCTAACTTGCTACATAGCTGATGATGACCTTGAACAGCTGATCATCTTATCTCTACCTCTAGAATGCTGGGATTCCAGGGGTGTACTATCATGCCTAGTTTAACACATCTTATATTCTATTTATTGAAATATCTAGAGTAGCAGATTAGTAGTTGCCAGGGCCTGTAAATAGGAGAGAATGGGAATGACAACTGAATGAGTTCAGGGTTTTCTTTCTAGGTGATGAAACTGGAACCAGATTATGATGATGTTTTCACAACACTACGAATACCACTATTAAACACCACTGAATGGGACACATATATATTTTAGTACTATAACAAAAAGTTTTGGTTTTGTTTTGTTTTGTTTTTGAGAAAGGGTTCCCTATAGCCCTACCTGGCCTGGAACTTGCTATGTAGATCAGGCTAGCCTTGATCTCACAGTGATCCCAAGTGCTGTGATTAAAGGTGCTATCACATCCAGCTTATTTTTGGTTTTTCTGAGATAAAATTTCACTATGTAGTTCAAAGTAGCTTCAAACTTATAATCTCCTAGCTCAACCTTTCAAGTACTAGGATTGTGGATGTGTGCCACCACATCTACCTAAAAAAATTTTTTTAATTAAAACAATTTTACATGATAAAACATAAGGATCTCAGAAAATGGCTCAGTGGGCAAAGTGCCTGCTGCACAAGCATGAGGACCTGGGTTCGGATGCCCAGCACTCACATAAAAGCCGAGTGCAGAGTTAGGGAGTTGGCCAAGTGGGTAAGAGCACTTGCTGTGAAAGCAAGAGGACTTGACTCCAACCCCTAGCACCCACGTGAAAAGCTGGGCATGAGCATATTCTGAAACTCCAGGACAATAGGAGTGTTAATAGGCAGATCCCAGGAACTTACTTGCCAGTCAGCCTACACAATATGGTGAGCTTCAGGTACAGTGACAGATCCTGTCTCAAACAATGAGAGGGAGGGGGAAAGGCACAAATGTACTCCTCCAGCTTCCTCATGCATCTACACACACACATAAGCACATACAGTACAGAGACAGAGGCAGGCAGATAGGCAGAGACAGACAGGCAGAGAGGGCAAGCAGGTGCAGTAGTATACATATGTAACCACAACACTGGGGGGGGCTTGCTGGTCTTCTATCCCAGCTGAAATGGCAGCCTCCAGGTTCAGTCAGAGTTCCCTTCTTAAAAATGAGGGAAGAATGGGATGGAGAGATGGTTCAGTGGTTAAGAACACTTGATGCTTTTGCAAAGGACCCAGGTTCAGTTCCCACCACCCATTAGGTGACTCATAATTATCTGTAACTCCAGTTCCACAGGATCTAAAGCCTTCTTCTGGCCTCTGAGGGCACTAGGCAAGCATCTCTGCAAGAGTAGCCAGTGCTCTTTAACCACTCAGTCATCTTTTTAGCCCCAAGGCATTTTCTTATTACTGAGTGAGGTCAGAAGAGCCCACTGTGGGTGGTGCCACCCCTAGGTGGGTGGTCCTGGTTGAATAAAAAAGCAGGATGAGCACAGAGGAGCAAGCTATTGGGCAGCATTCCTCCATAGTCTCTGCTTCAGTTCCTGCCTCCAGGTTCCTGCATGACTTCTTTCAAAGACTGTGCTCTGGAAGTGTAAACAACCTATATGTAAACAATACTATGGTTCTGGACAGTTGCCCCCATAACTGAAGGTTTCACACAGTCTGTCTCCTTAGAGTTGAAGGTGAGAAAAAGTCATGAAAGGAAAAAGGAATGAAAAATGCAGTTTAAGGGGGGACTGAGTTATGAGACGTTCTCTTACGGCAAATCTCTACTACCACAGATTTTCTTACACGTTTCAAAAATCCACTCATTAGAGAGTTGCTCAGATTAGCAGAGATTGCCAATTCACCAAAAGTAACATCTCTGAAGTAACTAAGCAACAATACTTCATTCCATAGTTCTATGAAAGTGCTTATTCTGTTTCTCTCCTAACACCTAACATGAAGCAGAACCCCCAACTGGAAGGAATGGAGGAGAGTCATAGTGAGCCTCTCACTATGGCAGCCTCACCAGGTGTCTGTTTGACCCAGAACATTCCACTTTTCAAACAATCTTTCTGGCTGGGCATGATGCTGCATGCCTTGAATCCCAGCACTTGAAGGTAGAGGCAGGCAGAGCTCTGTGAATTCAAGGCCAGTCTGGTCTACATAGTGAGTTCCAGACCAGCCAGCTCGTATAGTGAGACCTTGTCTCAAAACAAAACAGTAAAACAAAACTGCTCTTCATTTCTCAAAAAAGTTTAAATGCACAAGAACAGCTTTTTTTTTTTTTTTTTCTGGGATGGGGGCTCCCTGTAGCCCCAGCTGTTCTGGAACTCACTATGTAGACCAGGCTGGCCTCAAACACATAAAGATCCACCTGCCTCTGCCTCCTGTTAAGGTTCAGATAGCCCTGCCCCCTCACCAACAGGGCCTCACAGACCTCTCAAGCACCTGAGAAAAGGGAACTAAGTTGATAAACACCCTGGTATTTGAAGTCAAGAGAAGCAGACTTTTCTCCACTGTTTGGCCAACACAGCAGACTTCCCCTTTGATCTCTAATAAAGAGG